CAACGTGAACACAAAACAGAGACAGGTGCTGTCTGTCAAGTGCATATGTGTGTAATTACACAGGGGAAGAGGAGGGAAAGGGGTAAGGTAGAAGAAGAGTGCCATTTTCTGGCCAGCTCTGTGGTGCAGCGTTAAGGTGCTGCTCAGGTAAAGCTGGTTCCAAAGGGAAGATCCTGGGTTCAGTTTCCTGGTCCACTTGTACATGCTGAGCATGTGTGTCCATGATCCTGGCTGGCTGGGAAGGCTAGGGGTGGGGATCGTGGTAAGGAGGGTCCTTCTCTCTGTCACTCCCACTCTCATGGAAAAATGAAATACACTTTAAAAAGGAACAGTGGCATTTTCAGTGAAGGCTGGAACAAACTGGTAGAGAATCTTACTAAGGAAAACGAGCTTAGTGTTGAGCCAGACTTGCAGCCAAATGGCATTTTTAATTAGTATTTGAAAACTCCTTAATCTTCATTCTACTTCAAATAGATAAGAGATATAATGCAAATGATAAAATTAAATGTTCCAGCTGACATTTTTTTAAAGAAGATGAACATTTTCATTTATGAGAAACAGACAACAATGAAAAATGACGGTCAGCATCAAAGTCACATATGTATGTAGCAACAGGAAGATATGAACCAGGCTTTATCTCTTATACAATAATAGGAATTAACAGGGCTCTCTGTGTCGCTAGAAACAGGAACCAGCCTTGTGAGAGACTGACATTGGTTAGCTTCAATCAATCACTTTTCAGTACTGGCACTGTTATCTAATCCCCTCCCACATTGACTCTAGGTTTAGTCATGTGACTTACTTGGCCAGTAGGACATCATAAATAAGATGCTGCAAAAATTTAATAGGTGTTTATGGACTGGGGCATGTCCCATTGGAAACCTTTCCTCTTAAAAGCCAACTGCCATGCTGTGAAGAAGATCAAGCAAGATATTGAATGATCAGTCCAGCTACTGTGATGTAACCATAATGCAAGTTCCCTGCAAGACTGGAGTCATTTGGCTAACCATGGGTTTGGGCCCCTGGATCAGCCTAAAAAATAGGAGGAGATGGAGGACTGAAGAAAGTAAATCATGCTGTAATGAGACCCTGTTGGGAATTCTCTCTCTTGCTTTCTTTTTGATGCATGCATACATGCAAGTGTTCTCCATTTATATAGACATATAAAATGATGACAAGCCACATAAAGATAGGCCCTGAAGAATCAGAGGTTGTTCTGGGCATTCCGGCATTAAATGAGTTCCCAGCTTAATATAACCACTGGAGTGACCTCAGCCTGCAGTACATGGAACA